TGTTGGTTCTCCAAGCTCTTTAATGCCTTACTTGAATACGGTTTCGTTCAATGCAAGAATGATTACTCACTTTTCACTAGAGTACGTGGCTCCACCGTACTACACCTTCTCATTTACGTTGATGACTTGGTGATTATTTGAAACGATTCCACCGTCATTTCTTAATTCAAGGTATATTGCTTCCGTATGAAGGACTTAGGGCCTCTGAAATACTTTCTCGGCATTGAGGTTGCTTGCGGACCACACGGTATTTATCTTTCACAGCAAAAATACTGTCTTGACATCATCTCGAAGTGTGGTCTTACAGGCGCCAAGCCATTTGATACTCCCATTGAGCAGAATCATAAGCTGGCTTCGGCCACAAGTCTGTTTTATCTCAATCTGTCTCGATATCGATGTCTTATTGGTCGTTTATTTTACCTCGCAGTTACATGTTCGGAGCTCAGTTATGCTGTACACATTCTTGCGCAATTTATGCAATCTCCATGTCAAGCACAGTAAGACGCAGCAACTCGTATAGTCTGCTACCTCAAAGACTGTCCGGGTCAGGGTAATCTTCTCTCTTCTACGAGCAATCTCCTCTTAACTGCATCTTGCGACTCCGACTGGGCTTCGTGTCCTTTGACGCGGCGGTCTCTCAGCATTTATGTTGTTCTTCTCGGTGACTCTCCGATCTCATGGAAAACAAAGAAACAAGATTGTGTGGCTCGCTCTTCTGCTGAAGCAGAATATCGGTCTATGTCCCTTGCCGTTCAATAATTATTATGGATTAAAGAGCTTCTTCACTCAATTGATATCTCTCACACATCGCCCATGAAACTCATTTGCGACAACAAATTTGCTCTCCATATAACTGATAATCCCGTTTTCCATGAACGCACAAAACACATTGAGAATAACTGCCATTTCATCTGTGACGAGATCATAACAGGCAACATTGCCACCGCTCATATAGGCACTTCCGAGTAACTCGCTGATCTTCTTACTAAGGCTTTGGGACGTCAACAATTCACCTATCTACTTGGCAAGTTAGGCGTTTGTCATATGCACGCTCCAACTTGAGGGAAAGTGTTACGATATAGGATAAAATCGATCTCCTAAATCACAGGATTTGTAATATTTCATTTTTCCTATCTCATAGAGGTTTAACCTAAAACTAATGTATATATATATATATCTCGTGAATGATCAATAAAGAATCAAAGTCTTCTCTTAACTTTGGCAGTTATATATTCTAATATCTTTAATCGAAACCAATCCATCATGGTATCGTCTTTTATATTAGAACCATAACTTTGATATTAACATGATCTTTATATTAAACCAAAAGACACATATATCATATATAAGAATAATTATTCTTACAGATTTTGGTTAATATTCTTTTCACCCATTCACATATGTGATCAGGGAATAAATTTGAGGCTCGGATGGACTAAAAACATATTCAGAGAAGGTTTTATTTTTCAGCTTTTTCCTCTACTACATCGATGTCATGTGCTTCTAAAATAAAAGATTTTTTCCAAACTTTGTAGGTGTCTTTCATGCAATCTTTCACTACAGAAGGCAGATCAAATTTGTAAAAGCTAAAGAGTATATCAAGATGGGTGTTTGGGATGTTGAAGCGAACATATCTACTTTAATAGTCGTATAGTATTAGTTGGGAAAAAGATGAGATCGTGAGAATGCTAGATAAAACAAACATAGGGATTTCTTTATATATTTTTGCAGATTCACCACCATTGTAGCCCGACAAGAAAGCTTCCAAGGTTGTTTGATTTTTTGGTGATTGACAGATGCTAGGACTCGAGAGATTGGAGATTGAGAAAGAATTTATTTATTTGATTACTGGTCATTCATTGCATATTAAAAAGTTCATTGTCAAATATTATATGTTTTCAATATACACCACATACATCTAGATATACTAATGACGAGCGATTTTTGTAAGTGAAGCTTGCTTATTTTTATTATCTTGCTTTACTAAGTGATGAGTTTTGCTTGGATTGATGTTTGCAATGAGTTCAGCACTTAGCTGAATATAAATGTAAGGTAAACGGGGATTATAAAAGCAGGAAGTTACTATATTATATAAGATTTGTACTTGAAAGTGTGAAGACGACAATGGTGTGAGAATGGAAATATGGTCATAATTTTTTCACCGAGATGATCATTGCATATGCTAGCTTTTCTAAAGTGGGGTATCGGGCTTCAGCCCCATCTAGATTTTTGCTCACGTAGAAGATGGGTTTCTGCTCGCCGCGATCTTCTCGCATTAAGACTCCGCTTACTGCTGCTGTTGAAATTGCAATGTAAAGATATAGGATTTCGCCGTTTTCGGGTTTGGACAAGACTAGTGGGGTGGTGAGGTACTCTTTTAGTTGTGTGAAGACTTCCTTGCACTTATCGTCCAATTCGAATTACTTATTACTTCGAGGTAATTGATAGAAGGGCATGCACTTATCTGTCGATCGCGAAATGAATCTATTTAACACAGCAATTCAGCCCATTAATCGCTGCACTTCGCGAGTTTTTTAAGGTGATGAAAGATTCAAGATTGCTGAGATCTGCTTCGGGTTTGCTTCATTTCCTCTTTGGGTGACTATATAACCTAAAAATTCTCCAGAGGTTACACTGAAGGTGCATTTGGCAGAATTAAGCTTCATTATATACTTATCGACAGTGTGGAAACAATCTCGGAGATGTCTAACATGATCTCCGGTGACTACTTTTTTTACTATCATGTCGTTGATGTATTTCTCCATTGTTCGGCCGAGCTGACTCGCAAACATCTTATTGACCAGTCGCTGATAGGTGGCTCATGCGTCTTTCAACCTGATAGGCATCACTTTATAGCAATAGGTACCACGATCCGTGATAAAAACTTTTTTCTCTTTATTGTCAGGATGCATGAATATTTGATTATAGTCGTAGAAGACATCAATATAAGAGAGTAGATGATTATCGGCGGTTGATTCTACGAGGCGATCGATATGAGGGAGTGGGAAACAATCTTTAGAGACTGCTTTGGTTAAGTCGATAATGTCAACACATACTCTTCATTTGTCGTTCTTCTTTTTAACGACGATTGGATAGGCGAGCCATTCGGGGTACTGGACTTATGTGATCGATCCGACGCTGAGTAGTTTTTCTACTTTGCCAATCACTGCTTGGGCCTTCTCCGGGCCGAGCTTCCATCGTTTTTGCTTGATCGGTTTGAAGGTGCGGTCGATGTGTAATTCATGCGATATGATTTTAGGGTTGATTCCTTTCATATCGTCCATAAACCAAGCGAATAGATGGACGTTATCCTTCAGAAGCTTAATGAGCTCAGTTTTAATATCTTTGGTGAGGTCACCTCCTATGCTGACGTTCCGTTCGGGATGGTTTTCATCAATATTGATTTGGATTACTCGTTCCAGCTTTGGTTGTCTATAGTAAGGGAGGCGTGGATCGATATCTTCGTTTACCATGCAATTTGATGTTATGCGAATTTTTTCGCGCCGAGAAGGCATGTCCTTCATGTTGGTTGATCTCCTATCAAAGTGAAAACGGTGGTGCATGTTGGAAACTTGATGCATTGGTGATAGATCGATATTATAGCCTTCATGCTGTGAATCCATGGTGTCCCAGTATCAATTATAGATGATATAGCTATCGATGATTACAAATTTGGTGTTCTTGGAGACCATGCCGACGTAAGTCGTCAATTGAATCGTGTCGATGCTGTGAGAGATTTTCCTCGTGAATTCTGTGAGTGGCTTTGCCACTGGAATTATCTTATTCTCTTCTATGCTCGTATCTTTGAAGATAACGTTAACTGTGCTTTCGCTGTCGATTACTATTTTGGTTATTGTACGCTCGTGGATCTAGAATGCTATGACTAACGGATCGTTATGCGGTGTGTCATTGCAAGTCGCTCGATGTGAAGGCAATTGTCGCTTCGTTCCATATATTGACTAGGTTTTCTCTTGCCGAGATAACTTTTCTTTCATAAAGTTTGATGTAATCAATCGACTCGTCGTCATCATCAAGTGATCCACTCATGATCATATGGATTCTAGTTTCGGAGGTTGGGCCATCGGTAGAGGTTGATGTTAGTGTTGCTCCCGTGGGTGGTGGGATCACGGAATTGGTGATGATAGGGTTGTCGTGTTCATCAAGGGCTGTATTTTCGCGCTTCTCACGGGTTGTGTTCTCTTGATTGCTGAGGTGTTGATCGTGGTCACTAGGAAGACTCATCGTTTTAGCTTTATATTGCTTTTCCAAGAATTTATTATCCTAGTCTACACAGACATCGCCAATTGTTGAACCAGAATATCATATATATTAATAAGCAATAGACAGTTGTGGATTTTGGAGAATATATCCTCATACGAAGCTCAAAGGCTTAAACGATTACAAAGTTAGTGTGACCTAGAGGTCTTGCTGAAGTGAAAGAAAGTGTTTAAAGGTAATGCACTATAAAGCTTGGAACTCTTAAAGAGGGGTTATTGGTTCCTGTATTTTAATGAAGTTAGAAATCTTCTTTGGATTTGTAAATCTATTGATTTTAAAATCAGCAAAAAAAAAAAAAAAAAACAAATTCACTCAAATACCAAGGTTAAACCTTGTATTTGAATTTTTGTATTTAGTCACCAAAATATTTTCAAATCCATTCAAATTCAATTAAAACTCAAAAATTTTTAATATTTAGATTTTAAAATTATAGAACCAATAACACTGTATTTTTATTATGGATTTTAAAATCATAAAACCAATAACATTGTATTTTAATATAGATTTTAAAATAAAAGAATTAGTAACACTGAATTTGGTTTGGATTCTCGAATCCATTCATCATTTATCTGTTTTTTATTTGAACTTTGCCTCTTCTTTTGGATATAAAAGTATATTTGTATAATTGTATAGAGGCGCATCCTCTTTTTGTTTGCAGTTTAAGAGCTCTCTATAAGAATGGTTGTAGTTGCTTGTTATCCTATTTTTTGTTTTTTTTTTAGTAGTAATCATAACTCTTGTAAATGGAGGGTATTCGAATTGTTCTTTTCGTGGGGCTGATGGGGAGTTTTTTCATTATTCATCTCGCTAATGCTCAAGAGCAACTAGGTATTTTATGTATTCGCAGATAAACGATCTCTACATAAAATTTCCTTTACATTTTTGCTTTGTATGTAACCAAAGTTCACCGATGCTGAAAACTTTTGTGGGTAATCTATATATTTGCATTAGACATATTAGCACAAGATTTTGCTTTCCATTTATCGTTTTACGTATTTTTTCCAGGATTCATCAACCTGGATTGCGGAATGCCAAATAACGAGTCTACTTATACCGAAAATTCTACCACTTTGTTTTACTCATCCGATGCGGATTTCATCCGTAGTGGAAAAAGTGGCAAAATCAAGAATAACGAAATTGAGTACTTGAAGCCATACAGACACCTAAGATATTTTCCCGAAGGAATACGGAATTGCTACAATCTAATGGCCATGAAGGGCATCACATATCTTATTAGAGCTGTCTTCGCATATGGAAACTATGATGGTCTTAAAACTTCTCCCAACTTTGATCTCTACATAGGACCTAACTTGTGGGCGACCATAGATTTTCAAGATCAACTTTCAGATATTAGTAAGCTCACATTGCAAGAAGGTATCGCAGAGGAGTTAATTCATATGTCAAAGTCAAACTCTTTGGACATTTGTCTCGTTTCGACAGGAACAACAACACCATTCATATCAGCCTTAGAACTACGGCCCCTGAGAGAAGATAGTTATACTACTGATTCCGGCTCACTGAAGCTCTTATTTCGACAGCTTTTGCTAAGTAGCTTTGACGAATTTGATCTCCAGATTCGGTAAGTGACTATGATTTTAGTTGGTTCAAATACTTGCTTTTAAATTACTGCGACGAAAATTTATATATGCTTCATAACGTGCCATATCATCATGCGTTTCTTGTAGGGAAATTCAAATAAGTCACCCTATATAGGTAGGAGTTCTCATGGTGGGTTAAAATGAACCCAGTATATTTGTTAGATTGAAAATGTAAAAAAACAAAAAAATACGGTTCAATCCATGTTAATTAGAAAGAAAAAATAAAACGAAAATCTGCTCCATAAAACAAAAGAAGAATTAATAGATTATATTTTTTCTTTTTTCTACTTCGTCTATTTTTCTTTCTTTTTCATAAAAAGTTGAATATTGATTGTCTTAAGGCATCTCTCTGTCCGTGAAAGACTGTTGTAATATTTTGAGTCTCTTATCAAATATAATATTAATATTTTAAATATAATTTCGTTATAAAAATTACTTATAGAGAGATAATAAGTTCTCAAAAGCGCACTACCAAAAAAAAAAATAAGTTCTCAAAAGCGTTTGATAAGTTAATTTTTTATCAAAAAGTTTCTTTTCTATAAACTCTCTTATTTTCTATCATGTTTTTAATTTTTTAATGATGAAAAATCCATTAAGATACTCCAGTGGAGGTGTTATCACTTTATTCTTACCTACCAGATCACAATTCACGTTAAACATACACCTTTGAATTGATATCCATGTCTAATAACACAATTGTGGCAGGTATCCTCATGATGTCCATGATCGTAGTTGGCGTTCAGAGATAGGTTCTGACTGGACACAAATAAAAACCACAGCCAATGTAAGTAGTTTGGAGGCCTTTGAAATACCACAACGTGTAATTTCAAAGGCTGTGACACCCAAAAATTCCAGTAAGCCACTGACCATGAGATGGTTGCTGCGAAAACCATACTACCAAATCGATGCGTACCTTCACTTTGCTGATATCCAAGAGCTCCAGCTCAACGATACCAGAGTATTCAATATTATATGTAATGAGCATACTTTTTACTCGGAGTATAGACCTCTAGAGTTCATGGTAGAGACTCTACCTATTAAATCTATAAGTATGTGTGAGGGTCGTATTTGCGCATTGGATTTGGCCCTCGTAAAAGCTAAATCGTCAACTCTTCCACCTCTGCTTAATGCCATTGAGGCTTTCGGATTAATCCAACTTCCTCATTCAGAAACGGAAGAAAACGACAGTATGTAAACGATGTGATATATTTTCTTTATATATTAGTTGTTTTCAACATTTAATTTTATTTTTTAAAATGATATTATTGACAACCACTAAGTTTATATTTGCAGTAATTGCAATCAAGAAAATCCAAGCTACTTATAGATTACACAAAACCAATTGGCAAGGAGATCCCTGTGCACCGGTGCTATACAAGTGGGATGGTCTAAATTGCAGTAACACCAATATATCTATTTCCCAAAGAATCATTTCTTTGTAAGATCAGTCAAAATAAATATAAATTTTTCACACTGATGAATGTGTCTAAAACCTAAATTACGCCTTGCTCTTTAATCAGAGATTTGTCTACAAGTGGATTAATTGGTGCTGTATCTCCTGACATAGTAAATCTAAGCCAGCTACAAAAATTGTAAGTCTCCATTTCCGTTATTGTCACCATAATTCAAGAGAATGAAGATTTGACTATTTTTAAGTTTTGAAATAGGTGCTATTGCATTTCGTTAAAAGATAGCTCTTTTCATTTTACTAGTGTTTTGTCAATATGCGTGGATTGTTTAATTATATTGTAGTTTTATAAAAGTTTATCAATTAATTTTGTATTTAATATTGTGATAAATTATAGATTAGTATATTTGCATGTGATTCTTAGATATAGTCGAGCGAAGTAAATATCAGAAGGATGTATAAATATCTTTGAAAAGATGATCAAACTTTTTGTATAATAATTTGAAAGTAGATTAATGTATCGTTTGGTTTAGTTAAACTTTTTAAGAGTTAACGCATATTTTTGTAAATATGAAGGGTAAAGTTTGACTTTTTTGTATAATAATTTGATGTGTAATTTTGTTATATTTTTGTTTATATAAATAGTATCCACGTGAACTATATATTATATTAGAAAGCTATTGTCTAAATTTGGACATCTTATGTTATAATGTTATTTCTTTAGTGAACACTATGAGTATTTTTTTATACTTTCAAAAACTTTTTGCTTAAGCTTCCCTTTCGCTTGATGCTTTTAAAAAGAAAAACTCAATCCGTACTCTATTTTTGTTTCATATTGTATCTTAAGATTTTATTTTTAATTTTCATATAGTATGCATTTCGCTACTTATCAATTTTTTTAAGATTCAGTGTGTACATAAATGTTTTATAATTAGTTCATATATTCAACGAAGAAAACAATTGACAATTAATCATAAACTTCTTTATTATATGAGTTCTTTATTAATTGATATAATATATATTTGATAGTTTTGCTAGCTCAATCATTTGCCAATATTGGTGAAGAGTGTGGAATTTATCGTTATATGTTATTTGAAAAAAATATTTTTTCAGTTTTATGTTTCATGAAATTTTGCAAATAAAAATTAAGAGACGGTGTGTAACTGTCTTTAATTACCGATTCTTTAGTTATGTTTTTTACTTCAGTTTTTTCCACAATATCAGATTACAACGAACAATATGGAACTCTATATCAGCTTTTGAAACTTGAAATCTGTTATAAGTCAAAAAGTTAAAATTGTATAAATTAATTTTCTCTAGAAGAAAGAAAACCGAGTCGCTCCTTAAGTTTTACTTTTGGCGTGAAAGACGTTTTCCAGTTCCAACAATACTATGATTGAGACTCATTCTACTCAATTCACATTATAAATATAAATGCAAAACAGTTGTGAGATTGTATTTTTATGTTGCTTACAACAATCTCAAGCATGAGACACATTAGACTTCATTTGTGATAGAGTTGTGTATTATTTATACCATATGTGGCTCATCGCTATGTCTTTTTTTTTTTACATCCTCATTGCTATGTCTTTTGGATTTGTAAATGTTTATGCTCAAGTTATTTAAGTTTTATTGTTTATTACCAGTTTGGTTGTCATTAATTAAAAAGTAAAATTTGTGTTTAGTGACGGCTGATTCCGTTTCTGGTGAGTCAGAGGCGAGATGATTAGAAACCGAGGAGATGATGACTCCAGAAAATGAGGTTTTGTTTAAGCTTTATAATTGAGTTTTAGTATAATTCATTTTCAGTTTTTTTTAGCTTTGTTTTTTATTTTATTTTATTGAAAATTTAAGAATTATAAAAAAAAATTTGTAGGTAAAATTTGAAGAAATTTTGATTAATAAATTATTTATGGTTTTTGTTTATGATTTCTATGACTTTTTGATTTTTGGGGTATTAAAGGTGTTTTAAAGCAGATTTATCATTAATCAGAAGTTGAAAGCATTGGACTGTAACTGTTGTACGTTGTTGGTGATAAAGGAAAAAGGAGAAGATGAAAGATTTTGTAGAGCCATGTGTTTTATAATTGGATTTTGCTTTTGTTTGGGCTATTTTGTACCAATGTTAAATCATGTTTCTGAAAAGGTGAAGGTAATGATGATGTGTCTATTTGCATTCTTGTCATTGAATGATTATATCTGGGATTATTTTTGTCTATGTGGAGACCCTGAGAGAGCTCAAAACATATTCCTTTTATATAAAGGAGATGATTATTCCATCTATTTTCACACACCAGAGATCTTTCAACTAATAATTTGACTGGAGGAGTGCCAGAGTTTTTCTCAAGCATGAAATCATTAACCGTCATGTAAGTTCCTAGGATAATAAAATAATTATATTGTGTTTATATTGATGAAAAAAAATTCTTATAGCAAAGTTTATTAACATGGACAGAGACTTGAGTTACAACAACCTTAGTGGCTCAATTCCTCAAACTCTTCGTAACATGAAAAAGAAAGGTCTAAAGTTGACGTATGTTTCTATTTCCACCATTCATTTTTTTTTTTTTGCTTTTTTTTTGTTGTTTAAACCCCTCCTATCTATATTTAGTGACAAAAATAATATTGTGCAACTAACAGTGCTCAAGGAAATCCAAACCTCTGTTTGTCTTCGTCTTGCGAAACTAATGGAAGACACGGGAATAAAACTCTGGTTCTTGTTATTGTGTCAGTTGCTTTCATCGGCATTATTGCAGTTGTGTTTCTTCTGATCATTTCTGTTAATAGAAAGAAGATCAGGTCATCGAAAGGTAAATACTATTTTCATTCAATAAAAAAGAAAGGTAAATACTATGAAAAGATACATACTCTTGAATTAGAATTTTGTTTGTGGTCCACGATACTTATTTTCCAGCTTTACGTCCATCCATTGTGGCCAAAAAGAGAAGCTTTACTTATGAAGAGGTTAAGAAGATGACAAATAACTTTGCGAGAACTGTTGGACAAGGAGGGTTTGGTATCGTGTATCACGGTTATTTGAACCCTGAAGAACAAGTTGCAGCTAAAGTACTCTCTCAAACCTCAGCTCAAGGGTATGAGCAATTCAAGGCTGAGGTAATTAATTATGTTGAAGATTTAAGTGAGTCTTTAAAATGAACATTTTTAACGGTCTAAATACTGTTGGATTTATGGTTAATTTGATTAACTACTACAACCTTCACTGATTAACCATTGCAACATTTGGTCTGCTTTAAAAACTTTTTGTGGGTATTGAAGAAAAAATTTGAGCAAGAAAAAATAGATTAGAGAGAGAGAAAAAACGAGAGATTTACTACGGTTTTGAAAAAAACACATATGAACACTAAAAATTCTAGATGTGTCTTATATCTTAGCATAAAATAAAAGAAAACTTTGATTGTTTCACCTTACGGGATTTTGTGTAACTCTAAGCTTAATAAATGTCGAAATACTTTTTAAGAAAATGTTCTCATGCACAATTTAATTATTATCCAAGTTCACAATAAATCATAATCCGGGTTACTAAACCAACAAATTGCACCGGAACTAATCTTCATTACTACATATCCTAAGAAAGTCCGACTAACATAAGATATTGTATATATATTGTTTTTTATGTATGTTGTTTTGACAGGTAGAACTTCTTATCAGAGTTCACCACTTAAATTTAGTAAGCCTCGTTGGTTATTGTGATGAAGGAAACCACTTAGTCCTCATCTATGAATATATGCACAATGAAGACTTGAGGAAACATCTATCCGGTAAATGTGATTATCTCATTTTGTGTCTGTTTAGGTGACCTTCAAGTTATTATATTTTCGAATTTCTTATAACTTCCGATGCAATTGATCACATACGTCTTGTCTAGTACAGAAGAGTGTGGTCGGCCGACTTTGAGTTGGGAAAATAGGCTAAAAATTGCTGTAGAAACTGCACAAGGTTCATTCTTAATTCTTAGACCTTATCGCATTTACCTTTTATTGCAAACACTTTGAAGGATTCTTAAGCTTTTCTCATTATACTTGTAACCTTTCAACAACAAAATTTTGTAATAAAACTTTTATGAGTTATTTTATATAGGATTGGAGTACCTACATATTGGCTGTAAACCACCAATGATTCATCGAGATGTAAAATCTACAAATATACTCCTCGATGAGCACTTTCAAGCAAAAATCAGCGATTTTGGTTTTTCAAGATATTCCCCCAGTAGGAGGTGAAACTCACGTGTCAACACATGTTGTTGGATCACCTGGTTATCTTGATCCTGAGTAAGTACCCCCTCATATCATTACATAAGTTATCCATTGCTTTCATTTTGAGAAAATAATTTAGTCTATACTACAGATACTACAAATCAAATTGGTTGACCGGGAAAAGTGATGTCTACAGTTTTGGGATTGTATTATTGGAAATAATCACAAGTCGGAAAGTAATTGACCATATTCGTGAAGAGCCTCACATAGTCGAATGGGTTGGATTTAGACTGATAAATGGAGATATCAAAAATATTGTGGATCCAAGTCTTGTTGGAAATTATGGCTCTAGTTCTGCTTGGAAGGCTCTTGAACTATCAATGTCATGTGTTACTCCTTATTCATCTGGAAGACCAACCATGTCTCAAGTTTCTAGTGAGCTAAAAGCATGTCTTTTCTCCGAGAACTCACGAAAAGGAGGGATACCTGACATGGATTTGAAGAACTCCTCCACTGAACCTACCATGAGCTTTAGTCCCAAAGAGAACCCTGATGCATGCTAGTTCATGCCAAGAATTTGGGTATGAAGAGAACTTCTTCAGAATTTCTATGTTCTGTAAATTGGATTTTATAAATCTTGATCAAAATCAAACACCTCTAGTATGCTAAACTTTGAAACTTATTCAGAACCCAAGTTGTCAAAGGTTCAACATTTACTCAACGGGCTTGAAAAAATTTCATTCCTTTTTTCTGCAATAATTTCTTTAATAATACTAGGTGATGATCTGTGTATACATGCGGATTAATATTTTGTTTTATATTTTAAAATTTTTAATTAATAGAGTATTTTAATTTAAATATAATTATATTTTTGAACTTGCTAATTATATAAATATTGTATGAACTAATTCATATACTCTTTTGTTTTTAGTTTTTTTTGTCCTGTATCTTGTTTTTTTATAGTCAAATGTCTAATTCTCTAACTTTTTTTGTTGTTGGATAAATCAAGGTAAATTCCAAACTTATAAAAGGGCGCAGACTAAACTGTATGAAAGGTTTAGTCTATGGATAGACTTTCTTTTTGGGTATGCAAATGAACCGAAAATAAAAGCTCATATCTATGTGAGTGTTTTAAGCAATATGTTTTAGTTTCGCGCAATAAGTGGATCAAACTAACACTTGTTGGCACCCCGATCCAGTCTCCTTACCACTCGACTACAAGACCCCGGACAATCTCTCTCTCTCTTGCTTCTTAAACTACTTTGTAAATTATTTAAGATTGAAGGGGTGGAACATCAAGACAAAATGTTGGTTTTTTAAATATGAGATTATTAAAAAATTCCCCACAACAACAGCCATTAGATGACATTGTGCTTCGAAGACTTTGTAAGATTTGTTTTCAGATTAAAGAATTTTTAGATTCAAATATAATGTAACATCGAATATAAAAGCACAACCTATGCTCCGAGAACCCATTAGATGACACACCCAGTCTTTATGCTTCGACAGAGTGATAGAAGATGGCCATGGAAGTAGTAACGCTGGCATCTTCAACGATTCCAGCATGGGAGATAAACATCATCCTCGCTCCGTCCTTGCGCCGCCAACGACGGCAGTTGCTGACACTCAGAAAAACAGGATCCAAGTCTCCAACACGAAGAAACCTTTGTTCTTCTGGATCAATTGCTCAGATGCCACGATTTCATGCAAATATATCTCATATGCCATTTTTATGTTTAATAATTTCCTTTTTGTTTTTTTTTAAAATCCAAAACCCTTGAAAATATTTATACTCAACCACAAAAACTTTCCCAAACCCAACAATCCGTGGATCCTATTCGAGCATAAATGCCACAATTTTTTAAAAATGATCTCTTGTGCCACTCTATGATCTAATGCCATTCACTCATTTAAATTAGATGTAAAATGATAATTTAGTCCTTAGTAAAAGTAACTGAAAATAACTGAGTAAAAGTAAATTAATGAATCAGTAAAATTAAAATAACTAAAAGTAATTAAGATTAAAATCTAAAAAAAAAAATTAAATCTGAAACCACCCCCCTCCCCCCCACCCTCTGCCCTCCTCTCACGCGAGCTCTCTTCTGGTAAACTCATCCTGTCTTCCTCTTCATCCGACCCAGATTTCGACTCTGTCTCCACTTCGTCCGACTCAAATTTCGAGTCCTCTTTCTCATATTCTGCCATTGTTGCATGCGTTCTTCTTTTTCAGTTAGAGATATTTTATAAAATTACGGATTTAGTTTTAAAAAATTAGGGATCTGAGTTAGTAACAATACATTCTGGATAGATTTAGCCATATGTTCAGTAATTTGTGAGAAGAACATGGTTATGTTAATCAGATTCATATGTAGAACCCGAGCTCAAAATTCCTCGAGTTCACTCAATCTGCAATTATAGGACAACTGGTAGAGCGAAATGGTACAACTGAGAGCGATATGGTACAACTAAGAGATTGAGTTCAACTGGTACAACTTAAAACTTAAGTTCAACTGAGAGATTTAGTTCAACTGGTACAACTGAGACAATTATTTCAACAGGTACAACTGTGGCATTTTATGTAATTACTGATCTATTATTTTCATTATATTTTCAGGAGAGCATGAGCATCAACCACACAAACATACATTTGACAATGGAGGGGGTTATTCACGTGATGGAGGGGAGTTGAAATGGTTTACAAGTAATTCCACCTATGTTATACCATTTAGGAACTTATTATTGGAGGAGATAACTTACTCGGCGTTAGTAGATAAGATATGCAGGAAGATATGGTTGACAGAGTTGCACATAAGAACTGTTTTGGGGTCCATACTTATAAGTCATATACAGGGCGACTTATTCTAGAATGCCGTCAGAAGAGTCAAGGCTGTAAATGGTATTTACGAGCTGCAAGGTTTAAGAAATCGGATTATTTCAGTGTTGGAGTATACAAAAAGATGCATATATGCTCTCGAGCCGTTGAGAGTACATTCATTAATATAAGGAGAGGCACCACATGATTAATAGCATCTGTTTTGTAACGCTGTTTGATTTGTGTGTGTGTGTGTGTTTTGTAATTCTCGGTTATGAGTTTGAGTTTAGCGAGTTTGTATGACCAGGTTTAACTAGGTACATGTATGAACAATTCTAAATTTCATTTTGTCGAATTCACACTTCTAGAATTCGTATATGTCTGTGCTGGAGTCATATGACCGAGATCTCCGCCTAGAAGAGATGAAATTGGATGGCGCGATCGCCAAGTTCGAGAGGCTTCAAGAAGTCGAGAAAGGAGCTCAACATCTTCAAGCGAGATGTTTACACCTCGAGGCCGAGGTAGATAGCCTTAAGACTGAAGCAGCTGAATCATCCCGGCTGCGAGAGGATGTGGGTACCCTCCAAGCGCGAGTCGAGTTTCTTGAGAAACAAGGCAAAGAGCACGCACGAAGGTTCCTTGCCGAGAAGGAGAGGCTGCATGACTCTCGCGATGAGGTGGCACGACACGTTGCTAATAAGGTCTTTGATGGTATGGTCAATTGGTTCAAGCTGCGAATGGAGCATGTGCGGTCATCACTTGCTCAGTGAGAAGAGGTCGAAGCTGCTCTCATTGGTGTGGAGAAAAATGGCAACATGGCAGCGTATCTGGAGAGGATGCGTGATCAAGGATGGGAAATTCCTGCTGGGATGATCCCTGCATTTGAAAAGAAGCTTGCTGAATGGAAGGCTACAAGTAATACTATTGACGAAATAGTCATTACTAAGGATGACCTTGCTCTACCCGATAGGTTAAATTGCCCTCTCTTCCTCTTTTTTCTGCATATATATATATATATATATATATATATATTTTTTTTTTTTACAGTGTTGCGTTATTCACTTATTGTTTTGTATTGAGCAGATCCGCCCTTGCCCGGCTTTTAAAGGAAGCGCAGAAAGGGACCTTGGCGCCGGAGGGTGAGCCGTCAAGAGAGGAGCCGAAATAAAGATTTTTCTTTCTTCTCTCTTTTTTTTATCTGCAAGCCTTTTTAAGGCTTTTATGTATTAACATTGCTTAAAAGAGTTTTTATCCATTTATTTTAATGAAATATTTTGCTTTCCATGCGGAGTAAATAGTGCGAAATGCATTGTTTTTCTTTTTGCAACTAGAATTTTTTAATTTTGCGATGCGGCGGAACTTTTTAGTCTGGTGTTGGAAGCGAATATTTGTTCGTCTTATACCAAACGACAAAAAATAGAATACTGCATTTTTCAGGATTCACTTCGGCCTGAAAAGATGTATGACTGAGAGTCGTGCGAGTATTGTCCTCGGCTTTCATCTTATCCTCTTTGGAAGTAATTAAATTGAACTGAATTATCAAAGGATGGTGATCAGCCACATAATTTATTTGTGTTTTAAGTCGAACGTTTGGCCAGAACGTTGACTCTATTAAAAGCATTCGCAAAGATAAAATTGCCTAGATTTGCAAAGCGTTTGGTCTTCATATGCCAAGCTAATTGCCAAAGATAAAAAAAAAAAAAAATTCTTAGAATTATGAACCCGGAGGCTGCCTACGTACCCAAATCGGGATCAAACCATTCGTAGTTATTTATAATTGTTGGATGAGTGTTTAACTTAGAAGCCGAGCTGGCTTTTTATTGTTATGCAAAAATAAATATAAAAGCTGCGAGATTCTTGTTGAATCTAATGCTGATTTCCGCGAAGTGAAAAGATGTTGGTGGAAGTATCGAACTTCATGCATTGGTGATAGGTTGAGATGATACCTTTCATCTCGTGGATCTATGGAGTGCCGATAATGGCGTTATAGATTGCAGGTTTATTCATAAAAGTAAATTTGACGATCTCGGTTATGCTGCCTATGCTGCCGATGTAAACTGTCAATCTTATTGTGCCAAAGCTAAAGAAAGATTAACTGGCAAACCCGATAAGTGGCTTAGGTGCTGCTTTGATGTTTTTATCACGAAGTCCCATCTTGGTTAGCATATATTTGAAGATGATGTTGACTGTGCTACCGGTATCAGTTAGGATCTTCGCTACCCCGCTTTTGTGGATATAGAGTTCAACAACCAAGGGGTCGTTATGCGGGGTATGAAGACCGCACATGTCTTTCGCAGTGAAGGTGATTGTTGGCTAGTAATCCACGGTCTGGGGAAACTTTTGCAAGGTGACAACTTTTCTTTCGTACTCCTTGATAGCGCGAACCGAATTGTTGCAATCAGGTAGGCCTCACATGATCATGTTGATCCGTCGTTTTGGAGGTGCAGGTGGGTTATCTGGATCGCGGTCCTCGTTTTCATGCTCTGGATGCGGCTGCTCGCTCTTCTCTTCCCGCTTTTTGTCGGGTGATCTACTTCGACGTCGTCCTCCCGAACTGCCTCAGCTGCTGTCTTTGTTTTGATCTCGGCGATCACTGCTAGAAGTGCCATGGTGTCCATCTTTGTTTGTGTTCTGTGTGTAAGAGCTCTTGCTTTGGGATCGGTCTCCATTGATCTCAATCCCGCCTCCCTTGTACTTTTCATACAAATAGCTATGGAGGTGTCGACATGTCGAAGTAGCATGCCCCGTTTGGCCATGGAAAAAGCAGAAGAGATCATGATTATCGTCTCCCTCAGCCGAGGTACTTGGGGGATCGCCTCGGTTCCACTGATTCCAGGGCTTTTCTCCTGCTTTCATGATGGCGTGCAAAGGCGGCTTGCCTTTACTTGTGGGATTCGCCGGATCCATGCTCTGTGGGGTGCTTGCTCCTTCCACGTTGTGCTTCTTAGCGTAGAAGGTTTTTTCTTCTTCCATTCAGATGAAGGTCTGAGCTCGATGGAGTGCGTCCTCTATGGTTTCCTTTGGGTTTTTCAGTAGATCATCTTTGAACGTGGATTTGTACCATAGCCTGTTGATGAGTGCCTTCAGTGCTAAGGTAT